GGGTGTGCGGGGAGAGGGGGGCGCAGAGGGAGGAGTCCCAGGATCAGGAGGCTGCTCCCCAGCAACCGCCGGCCTTAACCCCTCGCCGTCTCCCACGGGAGCACTGTAGCTGTTCCTGTCCTCAGCTTCGCCCGGGACAGGGAGGGGCTCCGTGTCACTTGCAGCGAGCACAGGGGAGGACGTGTGCCAGCCGGTCCTGCAGCCAGGCCCCGGGTCACCGTGCCCTTCAGAGGGCGGAGAGGGGCCCCCCTCCTGCTGCTGCCTCCTAGTGTCCGTGCCGTGGGCAGGAGCGGTGCAGGGATGGGGCTGGCCCTCCAGGGAGCCCCTCTCGGGACTGGAGGTGTTTCCCAGCCTCGTCCCCCCTTCAGGGGGGGAGCAGGGGCTGGCGTCAGGCTTGGCTCGCCCTGAGGTCCTGGGGGGCTCTCTCCCGTCCAGTTGTCCAGGGTGAGGGGACTCGGCCGAGGCTGTCCTGGGGGGACTCTCGGGAATGCCACCTGCAGGGGAGGCGAGAGGAGACACCGGCGGGGAAGCGGGCTCGGCTGTGTCCCCTGGTCTTGTCGGGGTTCTGCCAGCGTTCTCTCTCCCTCTCTGTGCCGGTTCCTCACCCCAAGAGGCTCTGAGGTGGTGGGGGTGCTGGGGCTTCTGAGTCGGAGGTGCAGCCACGCGGGCAGTTTCTCTGGGCACCCCCCAGGCTGCCAGACACAGGGTGCTTTCTGGACTGGAAGCCACTGAGGGCAGCCAGGGAGGGCTCTGCAGAAGCCCCAGGGGCTGGCCGCCCGGCCTTCGGGGAGTTCTCGGGCTCGTTCCCAAGGGAGAGGCGCCGCCTTCGGGCAGGGGGCGTCCGAGCGGAGAGGCTGTGGGCAGAGAAGGTGATTGGCGGCCGTGGGGCGCGGAGTCCTTAGGGGACTGAAACAGCCCCTGTCTGGCAGGTGTCCGGGCTGCACAGGGCTTCTGCCGCCTCTGGGGGGAGCACAGGGGAGTCTGCGGCGTGCGAGGGGCACGAGGGGGCCTTTGGGGCGTAGCTCTCGGAGAGCAGGGAGGCTTCCAGGAACTCTTCTTAGGCGTCTGCAAGGAAAACCGAGTTTAGTGGTTGAACGCGGTAACCCACACTCCCTAGGAATGGAGGTCCCGTAACCTCTGGGGCGATTAGAAAGGCGAGTGGGAGACCGACAGGCTGCCGAAGGCACGATCTTGGCAATGATGTATGTCCACGGCCACAGCAGGACTCGCCGCTGTGTGGCCATGTTTTCTAACACCAAGCGCACACCCAGCCCGTCTCCCTGAGCCCAGTCATCTAAGTCAGGGGTCCTCAAACTACGGCCCGCGGGCCACATGCAAATCTAGGAACCTCTGGGGCGATTAGAAAGGCGAGTGGGAGACGGACAGGCTGCCGAAGGCACGACCTTGGCAATGACGCGAGTCCACGGCCACAGCAGGACTCGCCGCTGTGTGGCCACTTTTTCTAACACCAAGCACACACCCAGCCCGTCTCCCTGAGCCCAGTCATCTCAGTGTTTGCATATCTCACTCGGGCACAGCTCAGCTGGCCTTCCTCCTACAGGACACCGGTCCCCGAGGCAGCCTCTGCTGTCACACCACCGGCCGCACCCACGGCCACCATGGGATCACGGAGCACCTACTGTGCACCAGGCAATGCGTGTGTGTGAGTGTGTGTGTGAGTGTGGGGTGGGGGAGCGTGGGACACACACAGGGGGCACCAGACACGAAATGACGCCCCGCATGCCAAGAGCCTGCAGACCTGCAGGTAAGGAGCCCACACGCCTCCCACGGCTGCAACCTGACGGGAACACTGCCTCCTAGTCGGGTGCTCACGGGGGTGGACGGGACAGCGCGTGTGGCTAATGCAATGTCAGGAGCCTGCATGGGGCCAGAGGGAGCTGCAGGACAGCTCGCTGTTAGACCAATGGAGGCCGGGGCGGGAGGGATCGGGGGGATACCCAAGAAAGAGTATCAACAGGTGAAGGGGGCCCAGCTGGTGTGGCTCAGTGGTTGAGCATAGACCTATGAACCAGGAGGTCATGGTTGGATTCCCAGTCAGGGCACAAGCCCGGGTTGTGGACTCCATCCCCAGTAGGGGGTGTGCAGGAAGCAGCCGATCCATGATTCTCTCTCGTGATTGATGTTTCTATTTCTCCCTCCCTCACCTTCCTCTCTGAAATCAATAAAGATATATTGGGTTAAAAAAAGGGTTCGGGGGTAGGAGGGAACTGTGGGTATAGGAAATTATGAGTAAAGGTAAACAACAAAAAACCTTCAACATCCTGCTCTTGCTCCCCAAGAGGTTCAGAGACAAAAGACAGGTAAGCAAGAAAATGTTCTAATGTTGGGTCTCAGCCTAGTTTGAAATAAAAATGTTGAATGTCACCCCCAAATCTGAAATCTACGCTGCGGAGACAAGGAAATGCACTCAATGCAGGTGAGCCGAAAGCAGGTGAGTGGCCTCTGGTCTGTCTCAGCTCTGAGCCCCCTCTTCTCTCCTCACACATCTCTCATCTCCCTTTCATCTACTCGACCTTCCCCTTCTCTCCTCTCTCTGATCTTTCTCTCGTCCACCACCTCAGATGTCTCTCCCATCTAGTCTCTCTGATTCCATTCTTCTCTCTCCTCTCTCTCCCTCCATGAATTCACTCCTCTCGCACATCTCCTGTCTTCTCTCTAAACATTCTCTCCCCCCACCCTCCCTCTTTTGGACTCTCTTGACTCGATCTTCCTCTCTCTCCTCTGTCTCACTTCTCTCTACGTTCTTTCCTGTATTCTCTCCCATCTCCCTGTCTTCTCTGACGTCTCTTCTCTCTGTTTAGCTCCCTCTCTGAACTCACTCTTCTTTCTCAACTTTCTCTGATCTGGCCTCTCACTTAGAAATCCCTTCTCCAATTGCCCTCTATTCTCTCATCTCCCTGATCTCTCTCTGATTTCCCCCCTCCTCTCTGTCTTTCTCAGAACTCATTTCTCCCTGTACCCTTCCCGCTCTGCCCTGTGTCTCCTTACACATCTCCCTGCTCTCCCTCTCATCTTTCTCTGTCTCTTTGATCACTTCTTTCTCACTTTGCTCTCTCTGCCTCTGTGAACTCGTCTCTCACCTCTCTGGGTGACCACTGTCAATATAGCTTTTCTCACTATATGTTCTTCCTTCTCCTACTCTCTGATCACAATCTCCTCTCTTATTTCTTACTCCCCTGTCTCCATCTGTCATCTCTGTAATACCACTCTCTTCTTTCCGAGGTCCCTCTGCTCTTTCTCTTATCCCACTATCCTCCTTCCCATGGACTCTCTCTAATCAGCCTCACATCTCCCCCCTCTGAGCTCACTCGATATATCTCTTCTCAATCTGTGAACACTTTCTCCTCTCTCTAGCACCAATGTCTCAGCCCTCTCTAATCTCAATACCTACACTCCCCTCTCTTTCCCACTCTTCTCTCTGAAATCTTTTCATCTCTCTTCCCTCATTTCTCTCTCCTCTCAACTTTCTCTACTTTCCCTTATCCCACGCTTCTCCATCATCCCTCTGAAATCTATCTTCTGCCTTTCATTTCTCTAATTTCCCTCTATTCTCTCCCATCTCCCTGACGCCTCTTCTCTATGCACATCTTCCTCTCTGCACTATTCTTTCTCTGATCTCCGGCTCTTTATTTCTGAGCTCCATCTCACTTCCCTCTACTGTCTCTCAGTTCTCTCCTCCCTCATCTCATCTCCTCTCTGACGTCTCCCTTTCCTCTCCTTCGCTCTGAACTCCGACTCTCTCCCAACTCACTCTCTTCCCTCTGACCTCCCTCGTACCTCTCCCCCCATTCTTCTCTTTGATCTTACTCTCTTCCCTCTCTTTCCTGTCTCTTCTCACACATCTCCCCTTTCTCTGAGCGCTCACTCTTCTCTCTGATTTCATTCTTCTCACTTCTCTCTATCTTTGACCTGCCTCTTCTTTCTGATGTCACTCTATTCTCTCATCTCTCTCCTCTGAAATTTCTCTCTCGATATATCTTCTCTCACTCTCTCTACTCCCTACAGTTTTATCTCAATCTTTCTCTCACTCTCTTCTCTGAACTCCCTGATCGCTCTCTGAATTGTATGGTGTCTTTCATTTCTTACTCCCCCCCACCCCCCTCAGCTCCCTCCTTCTCTCATGAACTCTTTCTCTTTGATCCCTCTCCTCCTTCACTCCTCTAACTCCCCTCATCTCTGCTATTCTTTCTTTTCCCCCACTCTTCTCCCTCTCCCCTTCTGAGAACTCATTTTCTCTTTGATCCTGCTCTCTTTCCCAGTCTTTTTGCTCTCCCTCTGCTCTTTCTCTGAGCTCCCACTCTTCTGTCCCTGATTTCATTCTTCTCACTTCTCTCCCTCTCTGATGTCACTTTCTCTCTCCCCACTCCCTGAAATCTATCTTCTGTCTTTCCTTACCCCTCACTCTGACCCCACTCTTCTGAGACCTCTCTCATCTCCCTTACCTCTTGATATATCTCCTCTCTCTTCTCTCTCTCATCCTGCTCTGAAATCTATCTTCTGCCTTTCATCTCTCTAATCTCCCTAGCTTCTCCTCCTCTCTGCTCATTGCCCTCTCTGAGCTCAATCTCTTCTCCCTTTGATCTCCCTTCTCTAATTACCCTCTATTCTCTCTCTGGTCTCTCCCTCACTCTGACCTCCTCCATTCCCTCTTTTCTATCTCTAATCTTACTCCCTTCTCTCCAATCTCATTTCACTCTCTTCTATTTTTGACTTGCATCTTCTCTCTTCCCTCTGAATTCTCACCTCTCTCATTCCTTACTCCCCTCTCTCCTCCCGTCTACTCTCCCTTCTCCTCTCAGTCATTTCTTTCACTCTCCCTCTCTGAGCTCCCTCTTCTCCCACATCGCCCTATCTTTTCTCTCCCACACCCCGATCTCCAGCTCTCTCTCAATTCTCTCATTCCCTCTAAACTCTTCGCTCTTCCTACTCTCTGGGCACCCATTCTTCTTGCTCTCCCCCCCAACTCATTTTCTCTCTGATCTCACTCTCATCTCTCCCCACATATCACCCTGTCCTCTCTTTCTGAGCTCCCAATCTTTGTCTCTGATTTCAACTCTTCTCTCTCCCCTTCTCAGAACTCACTTTTCGCTCTTTGATCTTATTCTTCCCACATCTCCCTATTTCTCTCTGATGTGCCTCTTTTGTCTCATCTCTCTGTGCTCACTCTCTTTCCAAACGTTCTCTTCTCTATCTCCCCGTGCTCTCTCTGATTGCCTCTCTGAGGGCTCTCTCTCATCTCTCTGCTCTTTCTCTGAACTCCCACTCTTCTCTCTGCCTCTGTGAACTCTCTCTCTACACACTTTCTTCTCAAGCTCTGCTTTCGATCTCTTCCCTGTCCTCCGTGATCTGTTTCTCTGATCATCTCTGTAATCTCACTCTCTTCCCTCTGATCTCATGCTACCTCTTATTTGCCCCCACTCCTCTTCCTCTCCCCTCTCTCCTTCTCAGACTCACTTTCCCTCTTAACTCACTTTCCTCTCCCTGCCCCGTCTCTTCTCACATATTGCCCTGCTCTCTCTCTCAGCACTCACTTTTGTGTCTGATTTCATTCATGTCACTTCTTTCTCCCTCGGACCCTCTCTCCACTCTTTCTATTCTCCCTGCACCCTGATTTCCATCTCTGAGATCTATCTTCTGCCTTTCCTTTCTCTCTCACTCCCTCACTGATCTCCTCTTCTCTGTGAACTATTTTCTCTCTTCTCCTGCCCTCTTTCTTATTTGACCTGCCACTTCTCTCCCCGTCTGACTCTCTGAACTCTATCTTCTGACCCTCTCTCCACTCTTTCTTCTACTCTCTGGACTCATTCTTTGTTGGCCTCACTCTATGTTCCTTTCTAGTTTCTTGTCCCTGCACCCTAATTTCCATCTCTGAGATCTGTCTTCTGCCTTTCGTTTCTCTCTCCTCACTCCCTCACTGACGTTCTCTGTGAACTATTTTCTCTCTTCTCCTGTCCTCTCTCTTATTTGACCTGCCTCTTCTCTCTGATGTCACTCTCACTTCTCTCCCCGTCTGACTCTCTGAACTCTATCTTCTTTCTCATAAATTCTCTCATCACCGCTCTTAACACTCTTTCTTCTCCTCCTCTATGATCTCAATCTCTTCTCCCTCTCACTTCTTACTCTTCTCCTCTATGATCATCTCTCTGAGCTCTCCCTTTCTTTTCCTTCTCTCCTCTCTCTTCGTCGTTTTCTAATCTGATGACCCATTTCTGCCTTTCCTTTCTCGCTCTAATTTCCCTCTATTCTCTCTCTCTTCTTCTCTATTTCTCCCCCCTCATTTTTCTCTCTTTGACCACTTCTTTCTCACTCTGCTCTTTCTCTCAACTCCCACTCTCCTGTCTCTCTGCCTCTCACCTCTCTTGGTGACCTCTGTCAATATCGGCCTCATATCTCTGTCTCTAACTCCCCTCTATCTGTGAACACTTTCTCCTCTCTCTAGCATCAATGTCTCAGCCCTCTCTTCTCTCTAATCTCAATATCTACTCTCCCCTTCCCACTCTTCTCATCTGTCTTCCCTCATTTCTCTCTCACTCCCTCTGATCTGCCACATTTCCTCTCTACTCTCTGAGCTCGATCTACTCTTTCCATAATCCCACTCTTCCCTCTCTACCTCTTCTGCCTTTCATTTCTAATTTCCTTCTATTCTCCCTGCTCATCTCCCTCTCTGCACTTATTCTTGCTCTGATCTCCGCTCTATTCTCCCTGCTCATCTCCTTAATGCCTCTTCTCTCTGGGCATCTCCCTCTCTGCACTTATTCTTGCTCTGATCTCCGGCTCTTCTGTTTCTGAGCTCAAGCTCACATCCTTTATTGTCTCTGAATTCTCTCCTCACCCATCTCCTCTCTGATGTCTTTTCTCTCCCTCACTCTGACTCTCTCTGACCTCCCTCATATCTCTCCCCTCTTTCTCTGAGCTCCCACTCTTCTTTCTCTCTGATGTCACTCTATTCTCTCATCTCACTCCCTCTGTGAACTTTCTCAATATATCTTCTCTCGCTCTCTCCACTCCTACTCTTTTATCTCAACCTCTTTCTCTCACTCTCTTCTCTGAACTCCCTCACCTCTCTGAATTGTATGTTCGTTCATTTCTTATCCCAATCATCTCTCCTCTATCCAATTCCCCCTCCTCCTCTCGTCATGAACTCTTCTCTTTTTGATCCCTCTCTGATCTCTCCTTCTTCACGCTCTTCTCTCTTCCCTCTGTTCCCCTGATCTCTCGTTACTTTCTTTCCCCCACTCTTCTCCCTCTCCCCTCTCAAAACTCCTTTTCTCTTTGATCCTGCTCTTTCCCCATCTTCTTGCTCCCCTTCTGCTCTCCCTCTTCTGTCTCTGATTTCGTTCCTCTCACTTCTCTCTCCCTCTTGAATTCTCTGTGGCCTCTCTCACTGTACCTCTTCTCTCTGCCCACTGTTCTCCCTTCCTTCTCTCTGAACTCTGATTTCCGTCTTTCCTTTCTCTCCTCATCCCTCACTCTCGCCCCACTCTCCTCTCCTCTATCTGATCTCCCTCCCTCTCTGAGACCTCTCTCATCTGCTCCTCTCCATAACTCTGTCTGAACTCTCTCACCTCTCAGTGACATCCCGATATATCTCTTCTCTCTCTGAGCTCATTCTTCCTGAGCTCTCCCTTTGATCTCCCTCTCTTCTCTCATTTCCCTGGACGTTCTTTTCTTGCTTAACTCTTCTCTCTCATCCCTCTAATCTCTTGCTCTTCTCTATTTCTCTGAGCTCAATCTCTACTCCCTTTGAACTCTCTTATCTAATTTCCCTCTATTCTCTCTCTGGTCTCTCCCTCACTCTGACCTCCTCTATTCCTTCTTTTCTATCTGTAATCTTACTCGCTTCTCTCTAATCTCATTCTTCTCTCTTCCCTCTGAACTCTCCCTCTCTGATCTCATTCTTCTGTCTCTCATTCCTTACTGCCCTCTCTCCTCCTGTCTGCTCTCCCTTCTCTCTCATCCCACATCACCCCATCTTTTCTCTCAACTCCCTCATCAAGCTCACGCTCTTCTCTCCTGTTCTCATTTCTTGCTCTCTGATCTCTTGCTACCCTTCCTTTGCCCCCACTCTTCTTCCTCTCCCCTCTCTCCTTCCTCCTACTCTGAACTTTTTCCCTCTTAACTCACTTTCCCCGCCCTGCCTTCTCTCTGAGCTCCCACTCTTCTCTGATTTCTTCTTGTCACTTCTTTCTCCCTCTGACCTCTCTTCTATGTTCTTTTCTGATTTCTTGTCTCTGAACCCTGATTTCCATCTCTGAGATCTATCTTCTGCCTTTCATTTCTCTCTCCGCACTCCCTCACTGACCTCCCTCTCTTCTGTGAACTATTTTCTCTCTCATCTGCTTTTCTCTTCTCGTCCTCTCTCTTATTTGACCTGCCTCTTCACTCTCACTTCTCTCCTCATCTGTCTCTCTGAACTCTACCTTCGTTCTCATAAGTTTTCTCATCACCTCTTGACACTCTTTCTGCTCCTCCACTATGATCTCAATCTCTTCCCCCTCTCACTTCTTACTCCCCTCTCCTCCTCTTCTATCTTTACCTACCTCATCTCCTCTCTCTCCACTCCTACTCTCTTATCTCAACCTTTCTCTCACTCTCTTCTCTGAACTCCCTGATTTCTCTGAGTTGTATGCTGTCTTTCATTTCTTACTGCTCCCTTTACTTTCTCTTACCCAGTCGTCTCTCTCCTCTCTCCAATTTCTCTCTGAGCTCCCTCCTTCTCTCCTCATGAACCCTTTTCTCCTTTTGATCGCTCCCTCTTAACTCCTTGATGGAGCTCATGCTCCTCTAACTCCCCTGATCTCTGCTACTCTTCCTCTCCCCTTCTCAGAACCCATTTTCTCTTTGATCCTGCTCTCTCCCTCGTCTCTGAAATCATTCTTCCGCTTTTCCTCTCTCTCTCTCTCCTCACTCTCACTCTTCTCTCTCCTCTATCTGATCTCCCTCCATGTCTGAACTCTCCCCATTAATAATCTCAGGCTCTTCTCGCTGAGATCTCATCTCCCTGATCTCTCTCACCTCAATATATCTCTTCCTCCTCTCTGAGCTCTCTCTTTCCCCCTATCATCTTCTTCTCTCTTTGAACTCCCTTCACTAATTTCCCTCAATTCTCGCTCTGATCTCTCCCTCACTCTGACCTCCTCCATTCCCTCTTTTCTGTCTCTGATCTCTCTCTCATGTCCTTCCTCCCACTCTTCACTCTCCTCCCTTCTCTCATTCACTCTTCCTCTGATCTGCATCATTCCCTCTTTTCCCTCTCTGAGCTCCCTCTTTCTCTTATCCCACATCTCCCTCTCTGATCTCTTTCTACTCTTTCTTTGCCTCTACTCTTCTTCCTCTCCCTTTCTCCTTCTCAGAACTCATTTTCTCTCTCATTCCTCTCTGATCTCACTTTCCTCTCTCTGCCCTGTCTTCTCTCTCTGAGCTCCCAATCTTCTGTCTGATTTCATTCTTGTCACTTCTTTCTCCCTGTGACCCCTCTCTCTCCACTGTTTCTTCTACTCTCTGAACTCTATCTTCTTTCTCATAAATTCATCACTTCAATCTCTTCCTTCTCTCAAATCTAATTTCCCGATCTTCTCCTTCTCTCTGAATTATCTCTTACTCTGACCTCCCTCATCCCCTTTTCAATCTCCCTGATTTCATTCTTCTCACTTCTTTGACCTGCCTCTTCTTCTCATCCCACATCTCCCTTTCTTCTCTCTCTCTGCGCTCTGTCTGTATTCTTTCTTCTCCTACACACTGTCCCTTATCTAAAGTTCCTTTTGTTTTTGCAGACACACATGGCTGCTGCTTCCATGGCCACCTCGCTGTGGGAGCCCACCTGATGCTCTGAGACTAACCTCTTCACTGACCGGACTTGCTCTCAGGACTAAACGCTGGGGCAATGAAATATGGACAATCTCCAACTTCAAATAAAAGTTTTAAAGGCGGGTCCAACGTTTTGCCAACCTAACGCCGCCTGTTGGAATTTTCACCTCAGCTGGTCACTAAGGAAGACGACTCAGCACCGTGAGCCTCCCAGTCACTGCGCAGTGTTTCCCTGGCCGCCTGTCTGCTCCCCGAGACGGTTTTAAACATGATAGACGTGTCCTACCTGGTAAGCTGTCGGCATCTCAGAGGCCACCGTGTCTCCGGAAGGACCTGTACGTCGAGCCGCACCCTCCTCCGAGGGCCTGACCACCTCGGACACGGCCCCGAAAAGCAGCGTCTTCGGAGACCGAATCCTCGGGAGGGGAGGAGATCCTCTCTGGCCTGCAAGGCGAGAACAGTGACAGCGTCTCATTCCCTCCGCCACGTCAGCCAGTCCGTGAAAAAGAGAACAGGAGGGGGATGATGTCGGCAACCACTACGATCATGCTACCTCCCCGAGTGTTAAGACTGCATTTAACCCAGGCCCTATGGTAGGAAACATTGTCATGTGTAATTATAAGAGCAAAGGAGACACACACAGATACTGCCTCCCCCTGGGACGTGTGTAGGACGTGAGCACAGGCTGGGAATCACAGGTCACACCCTCTGCAGGGGATGCATTCCTCCCGGGAATGGTGTGGGCGGCCGCTGTCAGACTCCGAAGGGATGATGCGGACCATAAAGACCCGGGATTGCTCATCACCTGAACCTCAAATAAACTCACCGGCTCTACTGCTCCCATGTCCAGAAACAAGAGGCCAAATCGCACTGCTTTTCCCAAAAATACTCCCCACCAAGTCAGCGTGGACGTGGGGCAGGCACGTTACCTGACCAGCTTTGCTGAGACGAGTGAACCCTCTGCACACTTCGAGGCTGCGGCTGAGACGCAGAATAGAAGGGACCAGATTTCCTCCTGCCGAGTGCCAGCTGCTTGATGCGAGGGCTTCTTCTCAGACTCACCTCTACAGAAGCAGAGCCACAGCCGTCAGCAGGGAGACACGCCACCTGACCTCCCACGTGCACGTGAGCAACTTCATGTTTTACCAAATACAGACAGGAGCTTGACATGCCATTGGCTGAGACTTCATTGTTGTAGCAAAGATAAGAGGTGTGTGTGGTATGTGGCCCCAGCGAGGTGCAAAGAAGGTGGCCCACGAGCCTGTCACCTCAGACAGTGTCATGACCGGCCACCGTGAAGCACGATGGGGGGTGAGAAATATGTGTAAAGTAGTCACGCTGGTAAAAATGTTTAAATTTAAAAATTGCAGTTTATGCGTCTATCACATATATTAAACTGTTAACAGTATTTCAGAGTTATGGGATTACCAAGTGTACCAAGTGATTATCAAAATTTTGACTTTTCTATTTTTTTCTGATTTTTCAACAATAAACATCTATCTTGATTTAAAAAAAAAGTCAATCTTGGGAAACTCCACCACATATACCTTTAAAAGGCCACTCACCGCTCAAGATTGCTGGTGTGAGCAGCACTGTCACCTCCCTGTAAACAGCTTAGAATAGGGGTGGGGAACCTTTTCCTGCCAGGGGCCATTTGGATATTTATAATAACTATCATTTGGGGACCATACAAAACTATCAACGTCACCCCTAGGGCCTTGGCAGGGCCTGACCTTCCCCAGCCCTGTCTCAGGGTGAGAGGCTGAGCAGACCAGGGCGTGAGGTTTCCACAGAAAGCAGGTGAAACTCCCAACACAAAGGTAGTAGGTACCTTTCTCCGGGGACTCCTCAACCACGTCGATCTCAGGACCAGGGTCAGAGGACCTCGAGGAACCAAGAGCACAAGGATTAGTCAGAATCACGAATTAATTCACAGTGAACACACTAAGGAGATACGGCCTCTCCCCCCGTGAGTCTGATAGCAGCGCCATTGGCCAGCCCTCTCACACTATCAGAGTTAAAACATTTTTAAAAAATATATATATTCCTGAGAGAGGGAGTGAGAGATAGAAATCACAATGATAAGAATCATTGACTGGCTGCCTCCTGCACACCCCCTACTGGGGACCGAGCCCGCAACCCGGGCATGTGCCCTTGACCGTAATAGAACCTGGGACCCTTCAGTCCACAGGCCGATGCTCTATCCACTGAGCCAAACCAGCTAGGACTTAAAACATTTCTTTACAACTTCAAAATTAACTACAGATGTATACTTCTGCCCTGGCCGCTGTTTCTGTGGTTAAAGCGTCAGCCCGCACACCAAAGGGTCAATGGCACGTACCTGGGTTTCAGGTTTGACCCCCGGCCCAGCTAATGGCATGTGTGGGAGGCAAGTAATCTCTCCCCCCGTCTCTTCCACGCTCTCTAATACCTACAAACTTCACTTCTTACCATTTATTCTGTAGAAAAACTGGCACAAGTTATGTGAAACCCAAACACCAGTAATGACAAGACAGAGCCTTGACAAGACACACATGTACTCCTCCCTAGCGTCCTGTTAAACACGTGCAGTGTCTTCCTGTACGTTACGTGCAGCAACTGTGAGGAGGACAAGGGCGGAGAGCAGAGGCCGCCTGGCTGGGACTCAGGACCCAGAGACGGGCAGTGAGTGCCCAGAAGTTCCTCTTTGCTCCTCGGGTCCCATGGGTGCTGGAGAGGCCGACACCCTGAACACACCCAGAGGTGCGGCCAAAACTGCCCTCCGAGAACCGGGGCAGGGTTCACAAAGGACAGACACTGTCAGGGGAGACCTGCTCTGCCCAGGCAGCTGCCATGGAAACCGCCCCTCAGCACAGGAAGTTGGGACTCTAGACCCCAGCCCTGCCTGGCCATAATGAAGACCCACCTCTCCTTCCCCGTGTCAGCACATGGATTTTAAAATTGTGAAATAGCCAGCCCAGCTGGTGTGTCTCAATGGTTGAGTGTCAACCCATGAACCAGAAGATCAGGGTTCGATTCCCGGTCAAGGCACATGCCTGGGTTGTGGGCTCGATCCCCAGTGTGGGGTGGGCAGGAGGCAGCTGACCAATGATTCTCTCTCATCACTGCTGTTTCCATCTCTCTCTCCCCCTCCCCCTTCCTCTCTGAAATCAATAAAAACAAAAAAGATGTGGAATATCCATTCAACAGCATATTGCTCAGTAACAGAAAGGGATGAACTGACACGTGAACAACACGGGTAAATCTCAAAACCACTCGCCAGGTGCGCGAGGCCAGACAGAGCCCCTCCCGTGGGTTCTCGGCCCTCGGAGCTGACGGTGCTCTCTGGCTGTAAGAAACAGTCGGGACCTGAGTCACGAAGCCCACGGAGCAGGGAGAGCTGTCTGGGGGGTGGGGCGGCCGCACGGGTGTCACTCACCTGCCCTTGATCTGCCGGTGCAGCAGCCGCCCGGAGACCTGCTTGTGCTCCGGGGTCTCGGCCACAGTCCTGGTCAGCAGCCTGGGATGCCCTGCAAGGCGAGCAGCACAGGGTCCCTCAGCAGCAGGGGCCTCGGCTGGAGACCCCGAGGGGAAAGTAACTGGAGGCAGCCACAGAGAAGGGGAAAACAGGAGATGCAAGAGCTCCTGCCGTAAAGCGGGTCTCGGGACTGGTTGGCGCGAGCAGCCCTTGCCCGGGTCGCTGTGAAGTTACCTCTGGTCCTGCCCACGCTGTCCAGCTGGTGCCGCAGGCCTTCCACGGCCGACACGGAGTGGCTTCTCGGCAGCCCCCGCTTCGCCGGTCTCTTTGAAGGAGAAATTTCCTGGGTGAAGAGATTTCTTCGAACTTTGGTCACTTCTGAAAACAAACAAACAAACAAAAAAGACAAATATTATCACTTATAAATGCCGTATCTGGGAAAAGAAAGTTATCCACAACAGAGAGAAGCTGCTTAAGGAAACTATTCTACAGAGTGACTACTATATGCTAGTAGACACTTACTGGGAGAATTTCCTTAACTACTATACTCACATGGTACTTTAAAGTTATTTTAAATTGATTTTTAGAGAGAGAGGAAGGGAAAGGGAGAGAGAAACATCAATGTGAGAGGGAAACATTGATCAGCGGCCTCCTGCACGCCTCCTACTGGGAATTGAGCCGGAAACCTGGGCATGTGCCCTGACCGGGAATGGAACTGGCAACCTTTTGGTGCACAGACGAAGCCTAATCAACTGAGTCACACGGGCCAGGGCTAAAATCATTTACTTTTACAAATTCAATGTAAACTCAACACACGGAAGGCCCACAACACTCACCCTGGAAGCTTTGCTCGCTGAAGAATGGACATAACCCTGAGAAAGAGGACGGGCCTTTCAATCACCCTAGAGTTAGGATTGTCCTACCTTTTCCGCTGCTGTGTATTCAGCTCAGCCTCAAGTAGAAACTGTTCTTTCAACTTCAAAGATTTTAATCTTCTTACAAATATTTTACTAATTTTCTGGGTTATTTTAAATGCCCTTCCTCACTCAACAGCATGAAAGCTATGACCATCTAGACTCAAAGTTAGGGGGCGGGGGAGCTGAAGAGTCAAGAAACACTTGGCAACTCTAGGAAAACGGCTTCTTAATCTTAGGGTGGCCTCCTGGAGGCTACGCGATAATTGCCCTGCGGTAAAGTCTTCTAAGAGCCAGTCATTGAAAGAAAACCAAAGGAAGCAGGCCCACACACTGGGAGGCCCCTGACGTCTTCCCATCAGTGACATACACATTAACCCAAGGACCCCAATCACACAGCCAAGTTTTAAAAGAGTTCCTCCAGCCCTAACCGGTTTGGCTCAGTGGATAGAGCGTCAGCCTGCGGACTGAAAGGTCCTAGGTTCGATTCCGGTCAAGGGCATGTACCTTGGTTGTGGGCACATCCCCAGTAGGGGGTGTGCAGGAGGCAGCTGACTGATGTTTCTCTCTCATCGATGTTTCTAACTCTCTATCCCTCTCCCTTCCTCTCTCTGTAAAAAATAATAAAATATATTAAAAAAATAAAAGGGCAGACACGAGACTCCTCAGTGCCATGTCTCCTGGGTACGAGGGCATGTTCTCTAGCCTATGACCCAGGAAGTCACGATTCCATTCCCAGGTGGTGGGCTCGATCTCCTGTGTGGGGCGTGCAGGAGGCAGCTGATCCATGATTCTCTCTCATCACTGATGTTTCTCTCTCTCTCTCCCTTCTCCTCTGAAATCAATAAAAATATATTTTGAAGAAATATGTAGCTCAATCCGATTCTTTAAAAAATGACCAGTAGAATGATGTTTTAAGAAAATGGTAATATTAATAATTCTATTATTTTAACAGACATTATCTGTTGAGTGAAAGCTCACTGGAGGCACTGTTCTTAGACCACTATATATAATATCTCTTTAGTCCTCACAGTGAACCTAAGACCTGGGTCCTATTATAATCCCCACTCAGATATGCGCCAAGCATTGAGTTTTGGTCTGTCTTGTTCAAAACCCTACTCTCAGCACCTAAGAGAGTTCCTGCACTCAAAAGTTTGTGGGCGAATGGATAACTCTCCCAGTTCCAGGAACAATGAGGCTTAGCTAAATTACGTGACTTGTCCAAAGTCACATGACAGTAAGCATGAAAGCTGGGTCCAAATCCAGGTCTGTCTGGCCCCAGGCTGCATCCTGCAGAATAGAAAACGTTAGCCAGCAGAATAGAAAACAAACGAACAATCTCAGTAAACCTAGTTTTAAAGGAGCAAGCTTTCCTGACTGGTCTGAAATGAAGTTTCGGTCCCATGAGCACCAGCTTTAGAAGGACGAGTTACACGCAGTGATGAATGAGGACAAATCATCCTCAGGTCTACTGAGGGCGGCCTGACACCTCCGGGCCGTCTACTTAGGGATTTCCCCCTCTCCAATCAGGATGCTAAGATACATCAGATTTGCATCTTATTCACGTAGTAAGGTCTACTGAGAAAGTGAGCACAGCCCTGGCCAGTTTCTCTCAAAGGGGCGAGAGTTTGATTCCTGGTCAAGGGCACATACATTGGTTGCAGGGTCATCCCACCCCGGTCTGCAAGTGTGTGAGGCAATCAATGGATGTGCATGTGTCTCTCTCCACCCCCTTCTAGTCTCTCTTAAAAAAAAAAAAGTCAATGGAAAAAACATCCTCGAGTAAGGATAAAAAGTGAAGACACTAACTCTTTAACAGAAATCCCACTTCGGATTCCAAAGGACAGTTACAAATCTCGATAAACAGACAGCAAACCACCACTGTAATGATTAGCGCTTCGAAAGCTAGTTCTCATACACTTTTTAAAAAATATATTTTTATTGATTTCAGAGAGGAAAGGAGAGGGAGAGAGAGATAGAAACATCAATGACAAGAGGTAATCATTGACTGGCTGCCTCCTGCACTTTGGACCAAGCCTGAAATCCAGGCATGTGCCCTTGACCGGAATTGAATCCGGGACTCTTCGGTTCGCAGGCCGACGCGCTATCCACTGAGCCAAACCGGCCAGGGCAAGTTCTCATAGACTTTTAACGCTTCTCAATAATCTGTGCAGTTCACAAGTTTCACCGAATTCCTAGCAAGGCATTCATTCCACTTGGTAAAAGAGGTCCACAATGGGAAAAGGCATTTCAAAACCCATTTGCTGGTTTTGGCACACACTCACAGACTCCACCTGGGTTTCTTTCTCTCTGCCACCAACAAACCTCAAGTCCTTACACCTGCCACAACCAAGTTACCATCGGACAACAGCACCAGCCACCCACCCCACACTTTTTTAACTTCTTTTTTTTTCCTAATATATTTTATTGATTTTTTACAGAGGAAGGGAGAGGGATAGAGAGTTAGAAACATCGATGAGAGAGAAACATCAATCAGCTGCCTCCTGCACACCCCCTACTGGGGATGTGCCCGCAACCAAGGTACATGCCCTTGACCGGAATCGAACCTGGGGCCCTTCAGTCCACAGGCTGACGCTCTATCCACTGAGCCAAGCCGGTTAGGGCTTTTTTAACTTCTTATGGAAATAAAACATACATATTGGCACACAGCCAGATTCCCTTTATGCTTGCACACCACTGTTCAATGACCTCTTTGCTTATGTTAGTCAGTATTTAGGAGAATTCTCATCTACATTAAAGATTTCAAATGAACTCATTCCTTCCTAACTTGGGCTTGCTGTTTTATTTACATTACCTCTGTCACACTTTTGGGCAAAAGGGTTAATATGTAACACATGTATATTTCTTTAGTCCGTGGATTATAGTTGCACACACATTCATAAAAACATCTCGCCCTAGGCTGTTTGGCTCAGTGGATAGAGCATCAGCATGCGGACCGAAGGGTCCGGGGTTCGAGTCCAGTCAAGGGCTCCTCCCAGGCCCTGGTTAGGGCGAGTGTAGGAGGCAACCAATCCATGTGTGTTTCTCTCACATCAATATTTCTGTCTTTCCCTGTCTCTTCCATTCTCTCTAAAAATCAATGGAAAAATAGCCTCAGGTGAGGATTAAAACAACAACATCTGATTTGACTTCTGTGAGCGCCACGTCCACTCCCCACCGCAGACACCATCCTTCATTCTGCTCTCCCGTGTGGCTCACGCAGAAGGACTAGGTCTCTGGCGCCATTTCCTGTCTCGGGGAAACAACTTACGTTTCTCGCGGGTTTCTGGGACACTTTGGGGATTTCAATTTGTCGACGATTCTGTGAGGCCTCCGCAATGCTTTTGTGTCTTATTAATGCATTTTTCCTTTTGAAAAGAGAAAGAAACAGTCAATGTACATTCAATAGCAGTTACATGTAGATAAATTAGACGGAAACTACAGTGCAAAATAAAACATTCTTTTTTAAAATATACATTTCTATTTATTTCAGAGAGGAAGAGAGAGGGAGAGAGAGATAGAAACATCAATGATGAGAGAGAATCATTGCTCAGCAGCCTCCTGCACGCCTTCTACTGGGGATCAAGCCTGCAACCCGGGCATGTGCCCTTGACCGGAATCGAACCCGGGACCCTTCAGTCCACAGGCCACCGCTCTATCCACTGAACCAAACCGGCCAGGGCTAAAACATTCTTTAGATAAAGGTCAGCGATCTTGGTATTGGCCTGAATTTAAAGCAAAGCAAGTCAATCCCAGAATTTCCAAAAGTAAGTACTATAAATTCAACTAGTTATAAACAATGAAAAGCATAAAAGAAAAACTTAAAAAACAAGCTGAAACCCTAAGCTCATCTCCTACAAGGCTCCTAGTTCCCGGACACCCCACGGACAGTCAAGGGCTCTGGGGACTCAGTGGCAAATACTGTGTGTTCCCCGGATAAGTGTCATGTGCTCCTGACACGCTTCCGAACACCTAGGAACCAGAGCAGAAACTCCGGGACTGGCTTCTGTGATTCAGACAGGAGGGCACAAGGGAGTCAATGGATGACAAACACACATACTGGACTGTGGTTTAAACACACCCTCCGGCCCTAGCCCGTTTTGTTCAGTGATCAGAACGTCAGCCTGTGGAATGAAGAGTCCCGGGTTCAATTCCCGATCAAGGGTATGTCACTGGGTTGTGGGTTTGCTCCCCACCCCAGGTTGGGGTTTGTGAAGGAGGCAACCAGTTGATGTCTCTCTCACATCGATGTTTCTCTCTCTTTCCCCATTCTTTCTTCCTTCCTTCCTTCCTTCCTCCCTCCCTCCCTCCCTCCCTCCCTCCCTTTCACTCTCTGGGAAAAATACCCTCAGGTGAGGATTTAAAAAATAATAATTAAACACCCTCTCTGTCAAAACTGGAGTATACAAGGAACACCTTCAATTCCCAACGCCCTCCTACCTTCTCTTCTTAGCCGACCGGGTACGCAGCTCCTCCAGCTGGTCGGAGTCCGTGCCGCCCGGCGCTGACCTGCCGCCACTGGCCATGAGAGGCACGGAGGAAAGCGGCGACTTGCCCTCCTGTGTCACGGAGTCGTCGCTGAAGAAGTCTGTCGGCAGGACCCCCGCCAGCTTCTGAGGAACCACAATGCCCAGGCTGTCGTACAGTTGCCCCAGCGTCTTCGGGATGGAGTCAATGTACCTGTGGGCAGGTCGGCTACATGTGGAAGAGCCGTCACGGTGGCCCCTCCATCCCCTCCTCACCCTGCATGAGAAACGGTCCCTCCAGTTCCAGGATTCTGAAACAACGCCATACGCAGTCCTTGGTGAAACAGTGTTAAGGTTAGGGGAGCAGAACTCAAACTTACATTCCCAGAATTTCTTCCAGAAACGTCGCCAGGTATGCCGAGTCCTCAGTTAAACAGACCATGCGCAGCAAATCCGCCACCTGAAGGAGATTCCGAGGTGACTACACGCCTCTGCGGGACGCTGAGAGCTTCTAGCACATTCCCAGCGGCCCTAGTGATATACTTACCTCCTCCACCAGCTGCTCCACGTCATCTATGCTGTCACGTATCGACGGGCACTGCACACACATCTCCAAACGGAGAAACACCTGCAGCTGGCACCTTGAAAGAGAGAAACACTAGTCAGTGGTTCTCAACCTTCCTAATGCCTTGACCCTTTAACACATTTCGTACCGCTCAGGAGTTTTCTCGTGTTTCACGCGCCATCTGTTAAGGACCGCTCGCGAGTGTTCTCGTTTTTCACGCCCATGGAAAAAGGAGCGAATCTAGATACTTATGTAAATTTTGTTTGGTCCCTCTTCATAGAGGAAAATGTTTTACGCAGTACCATACGTTAAAAAAGTACTAGGAACTTTAATTGTTTAATTGTTTTTGTAAATAAAAATGTTATAATTATTGAAAAACGACACCTAAAGTGCATTATGATGATTTAAATAACGTGCAGTTTGCCTAAAAACGTGCGGTCCCTGGCGTATGTCTTAGAGATTTCTATGTGGTACGCAATGTGTTAATACAGTTCCTCATGTTGTGGTGACCCCCAATTTCATTGTTACAAATTGAACATAATTAAAGCATAGTGATTAATCACAAAAACAATATGTAATTATGTATTTTCCGATGGTCTTGGGCGACCCCTGTGAAAGGGTGGTTTGACCCCCAAAGGGGCCGCGACCCACAGGTTGAGAACCGCTGCACTAGGTTATAGCTACTCTGAAGGTCACTAAACTTGAGGCCCCTTCCTCAGTCATAGATCTACTTATATACAAAACAACATAATGGAGAACCGTGGCTTTCTCTAAATCAGTGGTCGCCGACCGGTGGTCCGCCGACCACTGGTGGTCCGTGAGGTCTGAAAGGTTGGTGACCGCTGGTCTACCGACATGGTTATCAGGTAAACTGGTGACTCAAACTGCATTAGATGATAAAGAATCAGCCACAAAAGCCTCTCCGAGCAATTCGCCATCTGTTCTAAATGGCTACAAGCAAGTCTTAGAGTTTGTTTTGGAGCAATGGTTAAAAAAACAAACAAAAAAGGTTACTTACTCTCTGATTTTGTCCTCTTTATCCCGGTTTTTTCCTATATCTTGTCTAAGACTTTTGCTAGTTCTTAAGAGGTTATTTTTGACTTGATGCAGGCAGTTCATCTGAAAATGCAAAAGTATCACATAGGAAAATGTGACATTCCTTGTCATCATTTCTAATTTCTTCACGGCTGACAAATGCCAAAGAAGGGGAGTACATTCCTTTACACACTCCCCCTTCTTTCACTTTATTTTTAAAAAAATATATTTTATTGATTTTTTACAGAGAGGAAGGGAGAGGGATAGAGAGTCAGAAACATCGATGAGAGAGAAACATCGATCAGCTGCCTCCTGCACACCTACTGGGGATGTGCCCGCAACCAAGGTACATGCCCTTGACCAGAATCGAACCTGGGACCTTTCAGTCTGCAGGCCAACGCTCTATCCACTGAGCCAAACCGGTCAGGGCCCCTTCTTTCACTTTAATGAAAAAATGGTGAAATGAATGTTCTTCTTTTCTATCTTCAAGCCTGCGGATTTGACCTTTTTTTTTTTTTTTTAGTCCCCACCTGAGGATATTTTTTCCATTGCTTTTCAGAGAGAGAGGAAGGGATGGAGGGAGAGAAAGAGAAATACTGATGTGAGATACATTGACTACCTACTTCCAGCCCAGGCCCCAACCAGGGATGGGGAGCAAACAAGCAACCCAGGTATGCACTCTTGACTAGGAATTGAACCCATGACCCTTCAGTGTGCAGGCCAACGCTCTGACCACTGAACCACACCGGCCAGGGCTTGACCTTTCTTAAAAGGAAGATTCCATGCAGTAGTGACTGAGATGTCTACATACTATAAACAGCTCCTGTTCACTTAAGAAGAGTCTGGCTTCACTAGCCTTGAATAGAAGCAATAACTGGTCTAAAACAGTGGTTTACGACATCCCTGTGCATAAGGTCACGTAAGAAGCTTTTAGTATATAGATACCCAGGTCCCAACACGCAGACATCTGCTTCACTGCGTCTGGAGGAAGGCAGGCATCAGGTACTAAAAAATGTCCCACATGCCCCAGACAGTGTTAATCAATGGTTAGAGCACTGGCCCGCACACCAAAGGGTCACGGATTCGAGTCCCAGTCGAGGGCACGTACCTGGGTTGCAGGTTTGCTCCCCAGTTGGGATGTGTGTGGAAGGCAACCAGTCAACGTGTCTCTCACATCAATGTGTCTCTCTCACACCTATGTTTCTCTCTCCCTTTCTCTGAAAACCAATGAAAAAAACGTCCTCAGGTGAGGATTTACAAAAAAACAAACAAGCAAAAACATTGCAGGTGACTCTACAGTCCAGGCAGGACTGAGGACCACCGGCTTAATTCATGCGGCTCACACGCAGCTCAGATAAGGACAGAGGAGAGCACATGGCATGACCGGCCTAACCCATGCCCTTCGTTTCTGCCTTGTTAGAAAGACCTGGAACTGTGCTCACCGCTCACCTTCTTGCTCCCCTCATCATGTATGAATCATGCCCTGTATACAAACATGTGAACCAAACCCATTCATCGGGACCCTCTTACCTCTAAGTCCTTGGTGCCTTTGGACTTGAGAAATGCTTTAATGGTTGAGATCATGTTCTGAGCACATGAATACAACACGGTTTCTCCTGTGGCCATAGTCTTCTGGTAATTTTCATGTATGTAAGATTGTAGCTCCTCTTCAGTTTTAAAATCTGTAAAAAAAAAAAAGTTAAACTGAGGACTTCCAGTAAAGATGGCAGAGTGGATAAAGGCTGTGCTTGCCTGAAATGCATAGAAATATCCTATATAGTAAAAGCCTATTATGCTAAGTGTCCGGTCCTCTGGTGACCGACCGGTCGACTGTTCAACCAATCAAAGTGTAATATGCTAATAATATGCTAAGGTGCTCAACCGCTCACTATGACATGTGCTGACCACCAGGGGACAGACGCTCCGACCAGTAAGTTAGCTTGCTGCTGGGATCTGGCCAATCAGGACTGAGCGAGATGAGCCTGAAACACCCTGGAGCCCTCCCACGGTCCACCCCTGGCACCGATCTTTTTTTTTTTTTAAATAGATTTTTATTGATTTCAGAGAGGAAGGGAGAGGGAGAAAGATAGAAACATCAATGATGAAAGAGAATCATTGATTGGCTGCCTTCTGTTCACCCCCGACTGGGGATTAAGCCCACAACCTGGGCATGTGCCCTTGACTGGAATCGAACCTGGGACCCTTCAGTCCACAGGCCGATGCTCTATCCCCTGAGCAAAACCAGCTAGGGCAGCTGGCCCCAATCTTGCACTGGTAAGGTTCCTCGGCCTGGCCAGTGCCCTCTCACAATCCAGGACCCCTCAGGGGATGTCAGAGAGCTGGTTTTGGCCTGATCCCGCAAGCCACTCCCCTCAGGAGGGCGCCAGATGCAGGGCTCATGGCTGGTGAGTGCTGCTGCAGCTCCAGCCTCTCCCGATCAGGGTAGGAATAAGTGGGAGCAGCAGATAGGAGCTGCAGGTGGCATTGGACTGCAGGTTTCGGCCCCATCCCCGCAGGCTACCCAGAGAGACCACCCATTCACGAATTCGTGCATCGGGCCTCTAGTGAGGGTATAAAAGGGTACACCTGCACTCAGACACTGAATGCTGTGAAGTGAGGAGTACCTTTAGGTTTGGTGCTTCTTCGTGTCCTTCCTCTGTGCTCCAATCTACCCGCTGTTCTCCCGCCCGCTGTCTGCTGGGTCCCCCTGTCCCCAGCGGCCTCTGGACTGCCATCTGGATGCAGCTTCTGAGCCTTGACGTTCAGCCTCGCGACGTTCAACATCTTTAAGGAGCGGCACATGGTCTTCATCTTCTGCCGCACTGGCGTGCGAGGGACGCCTCCTACCAACCATGGTGGGAGGGAAAGTAAAAGAAATTTTACCCCCGTGGACCAAGAACTACTTCAGTTACCAAAAAAAAGAAAAAAACCCACTGCTTTAATTCTGCACTGAGAGCTACTTTTCCCACTTTATAATGCAAAAACTTTTCCTGGAAGCTTATGCTAAGGAAATCACTAAAGAACAAATCAAATCATATGCATGATGTACACTACAGTATCATTTATAATGATAACAATATCAATCGAAATATTCAACAACGAAAGAATTCTGTAAATTTTGTTAAGCTGTGAGGTGGAATAGTAACTGAAAAGGCAAGGTAGCAGATGAACAAATAATTCTGTAAGTGACACGCAAAGTTGTATTTAAATTTGTTATAACTAAAAATGAAGTTTATTCATTAAGAAGGTAAAATTGTGTCTCATTTTTTATTATTTTGTTAATCCTCACTGAAGTATAATTTTTCCATGGAGTTTTAGGGTGGAAGAGAGGATGGGAGGGAGGGAGAGAAAGAGAAACATCGACATGAGAAAGATTGGTTGGTTGCCTCCCGCACACACCCGACCAGGGTCAGGGATCGAACCTGCAACCCAGGTACATGCCACACCAGAATCAAACCTGAGGCCCTTCAGTGCACAGGCCAACACTCTAACCCCTGAGCCACACGGGCCAGGGCTATGGCTGATATTTTAATCACTATTGTACTAACGTAATTATTTTGAAATTTGAAATAGAAGAACGTGTCCTTGTTTATTCGGTTACCATTTCAACCTCATTTTAGGGAGTATTAACTCTTTATAAAACATACAATCTCAAAAAATACTCAAGAACCTCCTTGGTATGAGCGTACGTTTCTTTCTGCTGTCTTCCTGGTTAGCCACGGCGGGCTCCTCACGAGACCTTCTCAGGTAGAGCTCGGCCAGGCGGCGTGTTAACTCACTCTCAGTCTTGGAAGACTCTTCCTTAGTGGGCGAGGCAGCCTGCAGCAGCCTGTGAACAAGGCAAGAAGGCTGGTGTAAAGCTGAAAGTCTAATTTCCCAAAATGTTTTAAAGACAACACAACAATAACAACAAAATGCCTCTTCTTATAAGCTAATCAGAGATGGCCCCACAAGATGCCTTCAAAAGTATGCTTTCTCAGGAGGGAAATGGTCCCTTTTCTCACTTACGCTTTGAACCAACTCCAAGGCAAAGGCTACCTGTTCACAGAACCATTAATCGTTACACACAGTGTTGACTTTTTTTAACAAGATCTTCACGTCCCAGGGTACATGTTTGATTACGGCAACTACTTCACTTCTGCACTTCCCTGGTTATTTTTTGCTCAGTGCCCATACATTCAAGTGCAAGATGATGGAATGAGGAGAAATGGGGGTGAGGGGTGATTAGTTATGGAACACTTGTCCACCTAGAGCAGTGGACGGCAAACTCATTAGTCAACAAAGCCAAATATCAACAGTACAACGATTGAAATTTCTTTTGAGAGCCAAATATTTTAAGCTTAAACTATATAGGTAGGTACATTGTTATTAACTTAATTAGGATACTCCTAAGCTGGCCTTTGCTAAAAACGACCTCAATCTGATTGAGGTACGTTCACTGAGGTCAACCCCTTCCAACTCTCCCATCCACACGCGTCTTGTATACTTGTTTCGTCTATCTCCTTTCGTTCATCCTCTCTATATGTCCAAACCGTCTCCACATACCTTTCTCAATCCTTGACACTACATCTTTCCCTTCACAACTTTCGCTAAAATTAACTTAATAAACTTTACTTAAAGTTTTAAGTCAAGTTCGCACTGTACGTGCGCGCCCGCACGTGGTATTTTGTGGAAGAGCCACACTCAAGGGGCCAAAGAGCCGAATGTGGCTTGTTAGCTGCGGTTTGCCGACCACTGACCTAGAGCTAACTACCAGGCACTAAGGAAATCACAGAAATGGGACAACTTTCAAAATGTATTACTTGTATTTCACTATTTTCCATTACCTGATATAATCTGATTTAAAAATAGGAGAAAGTTATGATGCCATTAGCAAAAACTAAAACCATTTCCCCTAAAAACAGGAACAAGACAGGAATGTCTGCTTTCACCACCCTTGTTCAACATAATATTGAAAGTCCTAGCCACAGCGATCAGACAAGAAGAAATAAAAGGCATCCAAACTGCAAAGGAGGAAGTAAAATTCTCATTCACAGATGACATGATATCATACATAGAAAACCCTAAAGACTCCACCAAAA